CATATTCACATCAAAAGTAAAGACCGGATTCTTCAAAGACGAAATGAACTTCTGCAAAAACAAACAAAACTTGTTTCCCTTGGGAACAGTCACAAACACATGTTTCTTCCTTCTCAACTGCCACTCAATCACATTGCAACATAGCAACCAAATAGAAGCTCTGTTTTGTTTGGGAGAAGGGTTGTTGATCACTACACATTGGGGCTGCAACTTCTCAAGTTGTTGCCAAATAGCATCTTGACCCTTCAGAGTGGAAAAGTTGTATCCTGCCTTGAAATCCATAGGCGATGCAACTCTAACTCCATTCTTTGAAAGGAACCAAGATAATCCACTGTTTCCATGAAGTAACTCAACAACATCAGGATTATCATCATTACAAAAGAAAAAGGACTGTTCTCCAAATTCGGCATCAACATACAGTTCGTGATCTTCACGTAAGTTCTCCGGATTCTCATCGTCTAATGCCGGTATGGAAACATCATGCCACTCATCGTGATCTCGTCTAACCTTTGACTGATTCACACGTACCACTGCCTTACCAGTGTTGGCTTGGACCATAGCTCCTTCTTGTCCAAGTACTGTGGCACGAACCCAACGTCCTTTATCCTTGAACTTTGATGAATCCTGAGTCCAAATAAAAACCTTCTCACCTTGGAAATATGGACCGTCACTTGGCATAGTCCTCCTTGCAAGATCTGCTCGAAGGTCCTGAGCTTGTCGTGCTTCTTGATGAGCTCTCAAGGCTACACGTTGTAGTTCCAGATTTGTACGATCTTGTGCTGCTGCATCAGCTGACAATTGCTCAGGGCTTGCGGTCTCAAGGTCAAAAAGATCTGGTGGACGTCTTCCAGTTGCTATCTCTATTGGTGAATATCCACTGATAGTCAACTGACAATTTCTTGCCCACACTACTTTCTTGACCACTTCTCTGACCGTAACACCACGAAAACGTGGGTCTTCCAGATCTACCTTCATAACATGCCACATACGTTTGAACAAACGTACAGCTGTCTCTGCTCGGTTCGGCCAAGGAGTTCTTGGTCCACAAGGACATTGTTGTATACCATGAAACCTGTAGTATTCAACAAAAGCATCTGTGAAAAAGGCTTCGTCTCCTACGATGGCCTTCGGAACACAATTGTTCTCATCAGACCACTGCCTCAATGCTTGGATGGTGGTTTGATCTATGAGGTCTTTCTGCGCCGTAGCCCAGAGAAGATTTGTGGCACCATCAAGAACAAGTAGAATGATATACTTGTTCTTGTGAAGTTCAACCTCACAATGATCAGCAAAAACAACATCACCAAAACATGAAGCTCTAATACCGGAGACTCTGGCTCGTGGCGGAGGTGCCACTGAAGTGTTACAAACACGGCAGTTCCTGACAATTGATTCATACTTCTCTAAAACAGAGTCAGGAAGCTTCAACATAGAAACACGTCTACGAAACTGAGTAGGACTCATATGGTAGTGCTTCACATGAAGCTTATAAAGCTCTACCTTGTCCTCCAGTCTCTGCTTCCTATATGCCGGTGTCATTGCAACAACTTCACTACCAGGTAATGGGATTGAAATCCGCCTAGGCTCAAGAGCGCCATCACCTGGTTCAAGTGGTTCATGTTTATCACTTGATTGTCCTTTTGATGCTTTAGGAATTTCTACAAGTTCACCTTCTGGCCTCTCAGGTGGTTCTGAGGGAGTATACCCTTCAGGATCATCACCCTTTAAATCAATTGGAGGCTCAGATGGTTTCGACTTGTGTCCTTTCCAAAATGGATCAAAACCCTTGGATGTATACCGAAACTTTGGCGGCGCAGGCTTTTCCGCGGCACTGGATGGTGCACCTTCCTTCTCTGATGAGAAGCCTGGTTCCCTGTCCTTTGCAATGGGAACCTTCTCTGAGGAGGAGCGCACCACTGCATCGGGATCACCAATGCCCCGGTGCTCAATGCCAGCCTTCCTGATCTTTAGATCTGGAATTTTGGCATCTGGCTTGAACTTAAAAATTGTTCTACCACGCCATTCATAGCCAATTTGTAGGTCCTTCCATTTTGCCTTGCGCCAATCATCTGTCTTCTTGATCTCTTCTCCACCTTCTTTCTTCTTGATGATTGTCAATCGCAAGTCTTCCAGCAAGTCAGTGTCTACAGGACATGACTTAGTTGCTGGGAAAAGAATCTTCCTGTAATCCTTGTGGTGACGTGTCAGTTCTCTCTTGTGAAGATCTACTTCCCAGTAGTCAACCACAGGATATGCATGCTCAGCTTCATCTTCATCACTATTGTGATCAACCGAAATATGGCCATATTCATAGTGAGTGAAGTGAGAGTAAAAGCTCTTCTCGCGCCGAGCCTGCAAACGCACGTCAGACAGATACCATGCAATATCTTGGAAGTCCAAAACAAGATGAGTACTGGCTGCAACTTTCAACTCCAAAAATTTGATACCAAGAGGCACCGATGTCAGATAAGCATGTTGAGGTGTCAGCCTGAGTTCAAAACCTAAGTTCCTCATCTGTGGCAAGCTCATAAGCAAAGGGACTTCTCCTTCTTCCACTATGTCGAACTCTGTATGGTGGATCGTCCATGCACGATCATACATGTAAATCACCAGTTTCTGAGAGCAAGTAGCCTTTTGGGAATTGGCAAAGTAAAATTTGCTCTTGGTAGACTCAAAAGAGTACCATAATCCACAATCTGGATGATTGTCGACATAGTTACAAAAATAATCGACTGCACGCCTTGATCCCATAGCTCTAGTGCATCCAATGTCCAGGATTGCAATAGTTGGCGGGAAGCGATTTTCAGTCAAAAATGAAATAGCCTGCATCTCTTTCACTTCTTCCTCCGCGCTCATAAGCGCAAAGCCATCAGGAGCATCTGTGAGCATCTCCTTTGACAAAGAGTACCTCACAGGGGCACTCATGCCATCGAAGATCGTCTCACCATTGTTGACCTTACAGTCAGCTTCATCTTGACATGAGGTCATCATGCCTGACAGCAAGTCCACCTCACTGTCATGGACTTCAGCTACTGTTGTCACACAATGTGCAAAGAAACCTTGATTGCTTCCTGATGCTTGTGAAGTTCTTGAAGGTGCAGGTAAAGAACGTGGCTGTTGTTGATTTGCATAGTTTGCATCTTGTTTGCCATCTCCTTTATCTTTTCCTTTTCCTTTCTTGCCTTTTCTCTTGCCTTTTCCCTTTCCTTTGTGGGAAAACCATGCTTCTTCAAGTTGTTGCCAAAAGTCATTGGCATCTTCATGTTCTCCTTGAAGATAGTCATTCATATCTTCGGCAATGATAGCATCATACGCTACTTGATTTGACTCCCAAGTGTCCTCATAAGGATTCTCTTCATAATACTCTTCTGGATAAGTTGTCGATTGCTCATCAGCATAATGGCCTTTACCTCGTCTCTTTCCTTTTCCTTTTCCTCGAGGTCTGAAAAATCTGCGGCCTGATCTTCCTTTTCCTTTTCCTTTTCTTCTTCCTTTTCCTTGGCCTTTTCTGGCTCTTCTTCCTTGGAATCTCCTCTGGAACCAAGAGAAATTCTGTTCATCATATACCCAAAAGACATCGTCCAGGGCATCTAGGAATCCTTCTGTTCCATCTTCTTCATCTTCGGCCCAATAGCCAAATGTACCATCGAGTTCTCCTTCGTCTAGTACGAGAAATGATCTTCTACCTCCAGCACCTGTTGGCTGCATAAGAGGATTGTCTACTGAAGTCTTTGTTGTGCAGAACATCTCAATGAAAACTGTCCTCAACTCTGTTGTGGTGTATTGCTGCAGGACCCTGCCACGATGAGTCATCAAAGAAGTCAAAGTGTTTCGCTGGTCCTGAGACAAATCTGCAAGTGACAGCATGAGTAGGGCAATGAGATTCTCTCCTAAAGGAAAATCGTTCTGATGAAGAATTCTCATACTGCCATTGACATTCTGCATGATTTCCTGAATTCTTTCTGCTGTTGGAGCTACTCCAGTCACCGCTGCATCAGCTTGCATTTGAGCTTGTACTTGTGGGTGTACTTGTGTTACTGGATCCAACATGTCCATCCAACTGCTCATAAGCCTTTGGAGTAAAATCTGAAATCTTGTCATCCATTTCATCATGTCGGCTGATCCTCGATTGAATCGCACGAATTGCATAAACCTGTATAGGAATACATTGGTTGATCCTTTCACGAAATATGGTCGCAGTACTCTCTTGAAGTAATCTACTCCAGCTCCTGGTGGCTCATTAGCCTTCAATGCATCTCTGTCTAAAACTCGCTTGTATACAGCTGCTTCTCCTTCTAGTCGGTTTCTCAATGCTGGTCCTCTCTTCTCATCCTCCAGCTCGGTGATATCACACCAATCGTCTATGGCATCCTCATAGGAAAACCATGAAGTCTTTCCATCATAAGATGGGGGCACCTTTGTAGTGACCTGTGTTGTCATAGCTATCGCTGCTGGTTCTCTTCTCACATGCCTATTCACGTAGGCTGCTGGCTCATAAGCCACATCCGCATCAGGCTCTTCCCAGTCGTCAATCCAATCCATGGCCGTTTGCCCACAAGCAATTCTATGCCTAGGAAAGGAGCTCACCTGGGTCTTCCAGGATCACTGCTCCGCTACCACTGAAAGAGTGACTAGGGCGTACACGGTAGAGGTGCAGACCGCTAGTGTCTTTTGCTCACGCAGAGTCTTATCCTATATCCCTTGAGCCTTATGGCAGTCAAGCATGGACACACTAGATAGGCCACTGGAGTGGAACCTGTACAAGTATGCCTATACATTTCAGGGGGGGGGTGGGGGGGGGGGGGGGGGGTCTTCGACCTGAAAAATCAGGGGTTAGGATTTGCACCCGGTCGAAAGAAACCTTGCTATCGCAAGAGTAACTCCAGCTAGCTTCGCTAGCTTTCGTGAAATACAAATGTTAAAACACATAAACCAACAAAAATCACAAACTTGTTGAATGCGTGGGTCTTGCCGCCATTGCTTTCTCCAGGCGTCCCCACACCTTGCCACTCGATGTTGCTGCCTCAGTCGCCACGAACCGACGAGATTTGCCTGACGCAGTTCTCGATTTTTTCTTGAAATATAAACATGTTTCTTATCATGTTAGTTCACGTACAAAAAATGCATGTTTTTTGCCCTTCGCTTCGCAATCCTTTCTTAGTCTTTGGCTGCTACATCGGGCCACTGCAGCAGTTCCCACATAGGGCGCCTGTCGAATGACACGTCGCCGATGTTCCAGCAAACGAGCCGCAGGCCTTACAAGGCACCTGACATTCATCGCCGGGCCTCATTTTTCGCGATGAAACATGAAACAACGTCAAAACGAAACATGAGGCAACAACTGAAAATCATCTGGGCATTGAGAGGCATCATAGGCACCTGAGATGTGGACTCAGTGGCTCTTGAATGGTCAGAAAGAAACGCGCAGCGTCAAAGAACACAAGACTCAGAAATGCGATCGGTCAAAACTCACCGAATGCGTTTTTTTTGCAAACCGAACTGCAAAAAACTGGAAAACATCGAGAGATGTAAGAATGGGGCAGTCGTCGAAGCGCACAGGACGGCAAGCTTCAAGTGGAAAGCAGCCTCACGAGGCCGGATTCACTTCCATCCTCAAACAACCAGTTAACAAGTTAGTATTGAATGTATTGTTGAACAAGATATTATATTCAAAGGACAAAGAATTTTTGAATAATACACATCCAAAGAACTCGATGTATGATACAATATTCTCCCCGGTCAAAGTAGGGTGTTTGATTGCAATAGGCTGTTAGACGGACTGCGCTACTCCCGGTTGAGTGTTAACTGTCCAAACATGTTAACCTGACGATGCTCCCACGGCGCGCTCTGATTCCATGGCAGACGCGCTGAATCGTGAGTTTTTGGAAAATTTCGAACAGGTTCTGGTATTGTTCCTAGAAGCTTTGGTGTTCCTAGTGGCAAGGCCAGGAGCCCCTAGTAGCTCCCTTGTTCCTAGTAGCGATGCCAGGAGCCCCTACTGGTGTCCTTGCTACTAGTAGCAGTAGCGTCCTCTTTTTTGGCGCGGCAGCGGCGCCCCGAAGTTTGGACTCCTTGGCGCGACCTCGTGCTGTGCTTTGATTTCGGCGCGCTCGTCGGTGAGGTTGCTTGCAGGCAAAGTCGGGTGGGTTGTACGTAGACCGGATTCCGTGAGAAAGCAAAAGGCTCTTCCAAATGCGAAGCCGCCAGTCTTCTTAAGGTAGATACAGGCACCGGTCTCGCGCAATCTCGGCCACAGCCAGTCCAACTCAAGAGTCCACTCGAGCACGCCATCTTCGGCGCGAGCCCCAGAGCACTTTACAGGTCAGTGGTGATCTGATTGAACGCCATGGCCGATCGTCCCAGACTGATTCAGCGCCTTCAGCGCGCGCAACGAGCCCAAGTTACCGAAGCAACTAGGACGATCATGAGCGACCTCCAGTGTGTGGAACAGCAATTCAGCAATCCCCAGTACTAGGGGCTCCTGGCCTTACTAGGAACAAGAAGCTACTAGGGGCTCCTGGCATCGCTACTATAGGAGGCTACTAGGGGCTCCTGGAGCACTTGCATCGCTCTCATGCGGAGAGCGGAAGCAGCCTGCTTCCCACATCGGTGGGGCACCAGCGTCCGATCCCCCAGATCAAACGTTCAGCATTGGGTGGCACCAGGAGTCAAACCGACGCCGGACGAAGATCACTGGTGGTGCCAACGGATGCTTGGGGAACCAGCCTGAGGCCAGGTGATCGATTGCAGAACCAGCAGGTTCAGGCACATCAAACCGAATCCACCGGACCGCCGTCAGAACGAGAAGCATCCTATCGACTAGTTCCGAAAGTGCTTTGATCTGGAGAAGTCAGTCTTGCGCCCGCTGGCCAAAAACATACGGATGCAAGAGTCTCCGTCAGACTGTCTGAACCTCTTTTGAACTTCATGATCTCCATGAACCTGAGAGAAAAGCATCAGTTGCTCCTGTCACAAAGTATGGCCTCAATATGTCAATATGTATTTATTGAAGTATTGCACAAGCGCACTGGGTGGATCATTTGCTTGAGCATCTCTCCAAATAAGATCCTTGTACAACTCCGCTGGACGCCAGGATTGCTTTCCATCATGAGCTGGGGGCCCTTGTTGTCATCTGACTTGTCTGGCGCAGGAGGCTCTTTCCTCACATTTGTTTGAGCCCGTGGCGTTCATAAGTGTGGGGCTTCCTGAATCGTTGCTCCACTGAAAAAAGGACGACCAGGTTGCCTCGACGAAGCAACGGCTGCGTCGAGTCAGGCCCAACAAGCACCACCTGTTCAACCGAAGTCTCGCGTAGCGATCAGACCACTTGAAATACGGAGATACGGAGAGCAACGAAGAACCAAACACTCCCAGAATCAGCTCTTCCTCTTCCTGCTCTTCCTCCTCTAGACTCTAGTTTCCTTTCTTCTTCGTGTCGCACAAAACAACAGTAACTCCAGTCTGTGGTGTTTCTGCGGGTTTGGACTTCGCACACGCTTTGCCTCTACATCAGCAAGCTTTTGCGCCCAGTCCTTTACATGCAACATATTTTGCTTCAACCGCCTCTTGCACCAACAAGTTCTTTACACTAACTAGCCAGTACATAAAAACAATCGCACACACACACATTGCACCATACTGTCACACACGCAGGCCTCTACACAAGCACCTCTCTCCACAACCTCTGCCACACAAACCATGCTTTACAAACAAGCTATGACCACGGCCGCCACCCTCTGCTTGGCACGTCCCAACTAGAGTGCGTCAGTTTGCGCTCTGTTTCCTTTGAGTTCGCGCGGTTCACATCACAGGCATGCTGCCACCTGCAGGCACCCGTGCTCAGCATGAAGCCCGCCTACCTCCCTTCGTCATTTGTACATAGTCAGTTTGGCTTAGCAAGAGTCCATGCGGCCCCACAATGTGAAGGTAGTTCGAAGCATTTCTGAGCAAGTCGGCGTCCGTTTCGTTGCTCCCTTTGTCTTTCGTGGGTCCCACAAAGGCCTCACCTGGGAACATTGGAGATGTCTCCCAAGAAGGGGCCGGCAGTCGTGGTGACAGCTTGGCAGATTGAGCGCGTGAGTGGACGGCGCCATCATGCGTTCTGAATGGCTCTCATCTTGACACGTCACATGAAACGCGTCGATGCGTTGATGACAAATGAACATGACATCGAGGAGCCCCTAGTAGCGTCCTTGTTACTAGTACGGCCAGGAGCCCCT